AACTGACTTTTATCCTAGATTAGATTTTTTTTGGTGATAAAATAAACAGCCTCCTGGATAAAATTTCTGTTAAGAACTCCTTTATCGTAACTTAACAATCAAAATAATAAGTGGGTCGTATTTTAAATCTATCACAAAATTTGGCAAATGAGGTGACCTGATACGTGAGAATCGTTAACCATAATGTCGATGATCGAGATATACAAAACCACACGTTTGAAATTTGCGATGACTCAATGTATGAATAACTGACATGGAATTGAGTATGTGCTGATAGACGATAATACCAACACTAAAAAAAAAAAGAAAAAAAGATAATACCAACACTGCAATATAAAAAATGATACTTGTTATTTAAAATCAATATTTGTTTTTACAAAGTTTCCCTTTTTTGATCGTTTCCATATTTAATTTGGTCGTAATATTTCTCTTTTCTGAATCACTTAGTTGTGGACAAGGTCATAATATAACGTAGAAAAAAAACTTGCGATGACTCAATGTAAGAATCATAATGCAAAATAACTGACATGGAATTGAGTATGTGCTAATAGTCGATAATACCAACACTGCAATATAAAAATGATAGTTGTTATTTAAACAAATTTTTTTTTTGACAAAGTTTCCCTTTTTGATCGTTTCCATGTTTAATTTGGTCATAATATTTCTCTGGTCCGAGTCACCTAGTTGTGGACAAGGTCATAATATAACGTAGAAAAAAAACTTGCGATTAAATTCTAAAATATCCCCTTTAGTTACTTGGGTCAGATTTTTTGTTAAAAAAAATAATTAAGAAAACATCAATCTCTTACATTACTCATAAGTTTTATATTCAATCAAAATTCTTACTTTTATAAATGACAAGCATACTAATCAATATCTATACTAGCCTACTCCATAGCATATTCGATTTTTTTATCCGTGCAGACCAATCCAAGCAAGTTTAGCTATATATATATATAATTATATACTAGCTAATAATTCGTACCTTGCACAAAATATAATTATTAATTTCGTTATTTTTAAATAAATAAATATCAGATCTTGTAAATTTGTATATAAGTTCAATTTTAAATTAGTTTTTTAATCTCATAAAATATAAATAACATCTTAAATTGATATTTATTTTGGTAGGTTCGGTTAAAATGTTTGATATTTTGATTTTACCGGTGATAACCAAAAACAATTATTATTTGTTTCGTGTTATATAAATTTTAAATAGTCATGATGTCGAACCAATAATTTTATATTATAGTTTATAAGCAGATAATAGTTCAAGAAAAATAAAAAAATTTATTAAAACAATCATTTCATTACGATTTAGTCGATAATGAAAGAAGCATTAAGAAAAAGAATTTTTAGCTTTCAAGAAAATTAAATATTTCAGTTGTAGTGAATATTTAGTTATATAGATGCTCATGTCGATGTGCATATGTACGTGTATTTAAACATATATAAAAGTGGTTGATAAATACGTAAAGATATTATTAATTAATATTAAAGGATATTTTTGTTCAAAATAACATATGAAATATAATATTCTTAAAATAAAATTCTAAAATACAATTAATTAAAGTAAAATAAAACTAAATATTAGTGAATTTTTTTTCATGTATTGTATTGTATCTTGGTCCAATCAGTTTTTAACGATAATCATTTATGGTAACAAATATTTTACGATTGGCCTTGCTAAAAAAGAGAAAAAGTCTAAAATTCTAAAACGTGTACATACATTTGTAATAACAAAAATAGTTATGTATTTGCAAAATTTGATCTTTTTACTTGATCCTTTCGAGTCCATCACCGAAAATTCTTTTTATCTTTTATATTACGTCATTCAATCATTTTTCGCAAAATTTTATATGATATTAATACTGAAGGATATTGTATAAGTGAGTTTGAAAGGTTTATGAAGTAGAATACATATCAATTAGATTCTTTTTTTTTTGTCATCGAACAAAACAGATTCATGTAGACTGTGCAAACCAAACTGGTAGTTCTGCATCCATATGAACAACAAAGAACGATTGCTTTCTGGCACTGCGTGTGAGACTATCCGCCTGTGAATTCTGTGTTCGTGGTACATATTAGTTAGATTCTTGTAATTTATTTTTTATGTAATTTTTTGTATAATTCCTAGAATTTTGTATGTGAGTTATGTATTGAAAAATATGTAAAATAAATAATGTGAAGACATTTATGTATAATTTGACTGAAATTTATTTTACACGTGACACGTTAGTTTATTCATTTTCAAATAATTGAGCAATTACCACTTATCACATATCTATTATAGTGTAAACGCATATCTATTATAGTGTAAACGTATTTATTATAATGTTTATTCTTTAACATATAAGGGATGTTCAGATCTGTCTCACTATTGGTTTGTGGATTATTGTTCACTTTGACAACCTAGTTTCATGTACAATACTAGGAATTGAGTATCGTCTAATACATGATAATATCTTTTATTACAATATAAAAATGATACTCGTTATTTGAAAATAGTATTTGTGTGTTTACAAATTTTCCCAGTTACCTTTGACTATTTCCCAATATTTCTCTTGTCTTCGTCATCTGGTTGTAGACATGCTCATGCACGGACATGTATATTTATAAAATAAATATACAATAATAACTGATTGATATTTACTTTAATTTTTAAATTAATTTATAGTTTGTATGTCTAATTTATATTATAATTTATATTACTTTAATTATATATATATAATTTTAGATATGTTATATTTAGTCTGTTTTATTATTTTTACGGTCGATTTAGTTATCATTTAGATATATTGGATTCTATCTATTTCTCTGAATTCAACTATTATTTTTTTATATTTTAAAATATTAAATTTTTGATTAATTGTCTTATTTGCATTTATGTTGGTTGTTATCTTAGAAATATAAGTATATTTAGTAAGATTATATAGAACTTAAGATTTTTGGTGCTTAGAAGGAAAAAAAAAATAAAAACTAAAGTTTATGATTCTAAATTACATACATAAGTAACTAATGAATTTCTAGAATATTTTTGAACACATATCAATATTTACAATAGTTAACATATTTTATAAATTCTAAATAAATTTATGCTTTAGATTGTTTGGATGGTAAACTGAAATTTATTTTAAATAATTTTAAAAATAAGGATTCTGATTTGCTTAAGTATTTGACTATGGTTATATTAAGTTTCACAAACATAAAAACAAAAAATTAAAAATCAAAAGATTATTAAGAAAACAGATAATTTTAACTATTAAAATATAATACATCTACTTCGTTAAATTATATAGTGTTATGGTATTTTAAAATAATTGTACTTATTTTCTGTTTTTATTTTTGTGAAACTTAATATAACCATAATCAAAATACTTAAGTAAATCAGAATCCTTATTCTTAGAACATATAATTTTAACTATTAAAAATATAATATATCTACCTCCTTAAATTATATAGTGTTATGATATTTTAAAATAATTGTAGTTACTTGATCAAAGATGTTTATCATTAAATTTATTTTTAGTTTTATTTTTAGTATCTCTTAAAATAGTCAGTAAAAAGTGATTGTTTTTGAGAAATTATACTATATAAGTAAAATAGAATTTATATTTTTACTTTAATTGTAAGATATTTTTTTTTTTTAACGTCTAAACTGAATTTATTAATGCATCAAAGTGTAACAAGAGTTATAAAATCGTTTACAAAGCAATGGTATACAAATTATTACATAAGCAGAATTATGTGACATATATTGAAGACAAATCATTCGTAGAAGTGAAGGTTGACGTTGCTTTCTTGTGTAGTAAGCCTTACACGCTAACAGAAACAAAGTTCTGTTATTTTCCTTCTCTATAATTGTAAGATATTATAGTCAAATAAATATACTAAAAAAATAATTTCAATAATACTAATTATAAAAAAATTTCAGTTAAACATATATCAGTTTATGTTATGTAATCATAACTATTTTGAAAATATATATACTTTATTGTTTAAAATTATATCTTTAAGGAAAAAATATTTCTTTTTCTAATAGCAATATTTTTTGTGTGAGATTTTTTTTATGAAATCTCATTATATACAGATATTCTTTTTTTTTTATCTAAGAAGATATAGATATAAAGTATTTTATTACTTTTTCATATTGTTATTTGGAAATTTTTAAAAAGGAAATAATATTTAATTGTATACAGATATTCTTTTTTTTGTGAACTTTCCTTTTTTATTAAACCATATTATATATAATGATATTTTCGTGTTTAAATAGTTTTGTAAATTTTATAAATGTTTCCTTTTTATTTTATATTGTTATTTGGAAATTTTTAAAAAGGAAATAATATTTAATTGTATTTTTAATTCATTAGGGGTATCATAGTAATTAACCAGCGTGAGAGTTAACATGAGTCGGACACCTAAGAAAGTGAATTCTCAAATAATATTATAGAGATTATTAGGATTATACCACAATTATTTTACAGTTGTTTTATATATTACCCATTCAAATCCTAAATTCTGAAAATATCTTCTATAGTTACCGGTCTCTTCTTTTCTTGTTGCAATGCATTAACAGCTGTCAACGCATTTTAATTTAATGTCTTATATACGATTAAGGAAACAATATATTCTCTCACCATATGTTGACCATTCAAGAAGACATCGTAGAAAAAACCACATTCGTAAAAACCCTTAAGTACACACAACACTCCATTAATAAACCTTTCGAATTAAATTCTACATTATATTTTCCCTGACAAGTTATGTTTGTTCGTAAGAAAGAAAGTTTTGTTTGAGTTTATAGTTAATGAATTAGAGAAGAAATAACATTTGCAAAATCTCGTCACTTATTCTGATTTCGTCCAGTAAGGTAACAGTTTCTTTTGGATTTAATTCCTAATAATCTTCAGTATAATGAACTTTCTTGACAAAATAAAATAGTACTATTGATTCTTCTTGAATCTGAGAAACCTTTTGACTCAGATTCCGGAGTCTAAACAATGATCGGAGAATCTACCAGCAAGAATCCAAGAATCAGCCACATGTCCATTTCCAACGGAGATATCTGCAGCGACTTCGGAAGCAGCCCCGTTTACACCGTCCAAGTCCCTCCAACGCCGGATAACAATCCGGGTCCGCTTCATATCGGTCTCCAAGACATGGACTCCAGTTCTTCTTACAAAGACGAAGACCTGGATCAAACCGAACTGAGAAACAGTAAAGAAGAGGATGCCTTGCTCTACAAGATATCTCAGCCCTTAACCCGTGTCGTCAAAATCTCTCCGATCATCATCGCTCTGTATCGGTATATTATCTCCTTTTCTATGTTTCTCTCTCTGTCTTTTGAGATATTTTTGATGTCGTGTTGGTTACAAACACTTTTGAGATGGGTCATAAAAAGCATGATGTTTCTTAAGATTTTCTGACAATGTTTTTTATCTGTCTTTTCAGGATTTTAATATTTGTCCGAATCGTAGCTCTCTGTCTGTTTCTCTTTTGGAGAGCCAGAAACCCAAATGAGAAAGCAATCTGGTTATGGGGTCTCTCTGTGATATGCGAAATATGGTTTGCTTTCTCTTGGTTAATCGACCAAATCCCTAGGCTTTATCCGGTTAACCACGCAACCGATACCGAAGCCTTGAAGGCGAGATTCGAAACACAAAACCGGAATAACCCAACCGGGAAATCAGATCTTCCTGGAATCGATGTGTTTGTTTCAACTGCTGATGCAGAGAAGGAGCCTCCATTGGTTACAGCCAACACAATCCTTTCGATATTATCTGTTGATTATCCTGTTGAGAAGCTTTCTTGCTACCTCTCCGATGATGGGGGGTCGCTTCTAACTTTTGAAGCAATGGCTGAAGCAGCTAGCTTTGCGAAAATATGGGTACCTTTTTGCAGGAAACATAAGATCGAGCCGAGGAATCCGGAAAGTTACTTTGGTTTGAAGAAAGATCCTTACAAGGGTAAGGTGAGGCATGATTTTGTTAGAGAGCGAAGGTATGTGAAACGTGGTTACGAAGAGTTTAAGGTTCGGGTTAACGCCTTGTCTCATTCGATTAGAAGGAGATCAGATGCATTTAATAGCAAAGAAGAGATCAAAGCTTTGGAGAAATGGAAGAACTGGAAAGTGAAAGTTGAGGAGGACCAAGTCAAGGAACCAAGGCCTGCTATAGTAGCTCCTAAAGCTACTTGGATGAGTGACGGCACGCATTGGCCTGGTACTTGGACTGTTCCTTGTCAAAACCATTCGAGAGGTGACCATGCTAGTATTATACAGGTGAATAAAAACACACATGCTCTGGATCTCTAACATGGTTTTTATTTTAACTTGGAGATTTAATTATATATTTTTATTTGCAGGTGTTGCTTGATCCTCCTGAAGATGAACCGGTTGATGAGATAGGTGGGGAGGGGCGTGCGCTGGATTTTGAAGGAGTAGACATTCGTTTACCAATGTTTGTTTACGTTAGCCGCGAGAAACGGCCTGGTTATGAACATAACAAGAAGGCAGGAGCTATGAACGCTTTGGTCCGAGCCTCAGCTATAATGTCTAATGGACCGTTCATCTTGAACTTAGACTGTGACCACTACGTCTACAACTCCATAGCCTTTAGAGATGGGATCTGTTTCATGATGGACCAAGATGGCGACCGCGTTTGCTATGTTCAGTTTCCACAGAGGTTCGAAGGTATAGATCCCTCCGACCGCTATGCTAACAAAAACACTGTCTTCTTCGACATTAACCTGCGGGCTCTCGATGGGATTCAAGGTCCGATGTATGTCGGGACAGGATGTTTGTTCCGAAGAACTGCTCTTTACGGTTTCGACCCGCCTCTGGCTCCTGTCGAAACAGAACCGTCTGGTAGCTGCTGTTTCCCGCAGCAAAAGAAACGCAAACCTGCAACCGTAGCTTCTGAACCAGGGAATGACGTTGAGGGGTTGGATGTCAATCTGATTGGGAAGAAATTCGGTAGCTCGAATATGCTAGTGGAATCGGTAAAGGTTGCAGAGTTCCAAGGTAAGCCATTAGCCATAGAGGGACACTCGAGCATACGTGGACGTCC